CTTAAATTATTTTATGTCATGAGATAATACTGGTTCTAAAATATTTTAAGGTACAATCTACCTGTATTCACTACTAAAAGACACCAAAAAATGTATAAAAGAATTCTTACCTAACATTATTTTTGTAGTTTTTTGAAAAAAGAACAACTGTCTAAGAATCCAGGGAAAGAACAATGAAATGCCTTAGCATTTTATTGACATGTCAACAGTAAAACAGGATGACTAACATGTAATATATGGAATAAAGGTACTGATGTTGGGGTTTTGTTTTGTTTGCTTGTTTTTGGTATTTGTACTAATCCTAAGCACAATGCTAATTAAATGTTATGAATTTGTTTTGCCTCAAAAATCTATGAGATTAGCCAGGCATTAACTAAATCTTAGTTCATATAATATGGGATTGGTATTATCATTCATTTCCCTGTAACAGGAAATGGTCTTTCACTATAAAATTATAATGAAATTAGGAAAACCTGAAATGCTGTTTTCACAGAACTGGTCTCATAGAATAAAAAAATTAAAGGGTCTACACTGACCCTAGGAATGTTGATAAACTTCTTAAATATTTTTTCAAAAGAAATTAGAAATTAAAATGAAATAATGTCACAAACTGATAGGCTTTCCTCTTTCTGGGCTCATCATAGTGTAGAGTGGTATCACAGGCAGTCCCTTTAAACTAAATTTATAGGTTAAGTCAGAACAAGAGCATGCTGTTGCTGTTGTTAAGTGCCATCAAGTCGGTTCAGAATCATACTGTGACCTGTATAGGGCCTTCCCCCAAGGGAACAGCTGTTGGGTTTGAACTAACAAGCCTGTGGTACAAATCGACCTTATGACTTTTAGTGCTTTATCCCATAATGCCACACACACCAGGACTTCAAATTTGTAGGTTAGGTCAGAACAGGAGCAAAGGGTTCTTATTTTAGTAGAAGAAAAGGCTAGAAGCCTTTTCAATGATTTAAAGCTGAACATGAAAACAAGGTGAAGGTAATTGGAATGAAAAACTTACTAGTAGGGATTAGGTCAACTGTGTCAAAGTGACTGCAAACTTACATAAAGGCAAGTAAGAATTGTGTGGTGCAGTAGGATAAGGACTGGTGGGTTCAAACCCACCAGCTGCTCCTCAAAGCCATATATAGGATTCACTATGAACTGGAGCAGATTTGATGGCACTTAACAAGTGCTGTTTATAAGTAGTATCCTGGGGATTTACTGTATTTTAAAGATTGAGGAAAGGAGCTCTTGATCCCCACACCCACTTCCCCTATCTCTGGCTTACCAATTAGGAAACAAGCTGAGAGAACTTAATAGCTGTCCAAAGCTGACGACAACAATCAAAATTAGTTGTACAGCGGACCAAAACTCAAGTTTCTTGATGCCCACTATTTCCACTAAATCAACATCAATTCTGGAAATGCTCTAAAAAATTTCTTGCTGGTAGTTGGTAAATGTATTCTATATTCTGTCTTGTATTTATAGGTTTATGTGTCAAAATGACAAGTATATTAGGATCTTCCCTGTGTTTTGAGACCTCTAAAAAGCAGTGATAAATTAATTTTCAATCCCTAGGACTCCTGGTATGGCACTGCAGGATCAGCACTGGACTGCGAACCATAAGGTCGAAAGTTCAAACCCACCAGCTGCTCCTCAGAAACCCTATACAAGCGAGAGGGAGGCACTCATAACAACAAGCTTCTAAAAGAAGGCTACAAACCAAAGCTACAGGACTAAACACAGAAGTCCAAATTTAGAAAAAGCTCCTCTCCCTTATCCCTAATTACTATGTAAACTGAGCTTTTCTATAAAATCTGGAAGATTTGATTTGCAAATGGTTATATGGAATTCCTGGTTTGATCTAACTGAAAATGAGATTTAAGGCTAGTGCACAGAAGATACTGAAATAAATAAAAGTATGATCTAGACCAATGTTTTCCAAAATGATAGTTTATGAACTATTTTATCATCCTGGAGGAGATAGGGAGCTTGCATAAAACACATACTTCCTTCACCAAATACTGTACTTAATGATAGGTAAGTTACATTCAGGCACAAACAACCTTCTCAACAGTTCAGAAACTTGAATCTCACTGGTCTTTCTACATAGCCTCAAATACTAGGCTAGCACAGATATCTTAACAAAGTATGTTAGAACTTTAGCTTCTCTTCTACCCCACACTTCCACTACTTTTATTCTCAAGGGGCTAAGAAGGGGAAGAGGAAAAAAAAAGTAACAGAGAAATTACTTTTTAAAAAGCCTATATACAGCTGTAAGGGATAAATTTTTATTAAAAATAAAATCTAAAATAACTTAGGGTTTCAAGATTTCTAAATCACTCTTGAAATGCTTGCCATCATATGCTCTAAAAACATCTCATATTAAGATAGTTTTGATTCTTTCATTCTTGCTCTATCACAAAGAACACAGAAATGGGTTCCCAAAAGCTATAGGACATTTGGTATTAAAACTATCTGAATGCAGAGGCAGATATATAAATCCAGGAGATATATGCAATGTGTAGTATTTATTTTAGAACAGTTATTTTTCATTAAAGTGTTATATATTAGCAAATATTTTTTTTTAATTTCTGTTTTAAATTTTAATGTGGTCAATTCCAATTCCTAGTGACATATCATTTCCAAGGCCATAAATCTGCAAGGAAACAGTCTTAATTTTTATCACTTGGAGCAGCTGGTGGGTTTGAACTGCCGACTTTTAGATCCGCAATCCACATATACAAAAGCTTTCAAGTTTCAAAATTGGAGAGAGGTCTTGAGAATAGAAAGTTTGAGAATGGCTAATTTACAATGGCACCATCTGGCCATTCTCTTAGATTCAAACTTTTGGCCTCTTAAGTGAACAATGAACTTTTATTATTTTTTTTAGAAAAGCATATCTTTTTTCACTTTCTCCTTTAAAGAGTCATAATCGTTCTTTCTAAATTAATTTTGATAGTGTTGTGATACATAAGCACTAGACTGTTAACCCCAAGGTGGGCGGTTCAAATCCACCAGCCACTCCTTGAAAACTGTATACAGGGTTGCTATGAGTTGGAAACAACTCAATGGCATTTAACAACACAACAACTAACTTATAAATTACTACTTAAGAATAGTTCATTCAAAAAAGGGAAAAGGACAGGCGAAGATATTAACCTTTCAAGGCTGACAAAGACAATACAGTTGACCCTCTATGTGTGGATTCAACTAATCTCAGTTGGAAAATATTCGGGGGGGCGGGGGGAGTAGGGGTGTCAATTAGGTGGGCAGATGCACTCCCTCTCAAAGGCAAGGAAACTAAATCCAAACTTAAATCCAGCAAGTGGATTCTGATTCATAGCGAACCTACAGGGCCAAGTAGAACTGATCCAAAGTTTCCAAGGCTGTCAATCTTAATGGAAAACCACTGACTTTGCAGGTAGCCATCCAACACTTATTCAATGAGTCACCAAAACTCCAGACTCCTTCTCAAAGGCTAAGTGGGCGCTAAAGTACTATTTACATACATTTACATTATGTTAGGCATTGAAAGTAAACCAGAAAGGACTTTAATAAAGTGTACATGAGGATATATATAGATTATATATGCAAATACTAAGAATTTGAGCACTCTGGGATTTTATTAATCATGGAGCTTACGTACTGGAGTCAATATCCAGTGGAAACTGAAGAAAGACTGTTATAAATCTAAATTGGGGGCATTTGAAACAAGATATATTATAGAATATCTCTTTGTAAGCATGCTATAGCAGTATGATTTTTCTCTCTGCTCAGGTTATTTGCATACTTTTATTCAACACTTCCCTTCCTTCTGATCGTACAACAAAATGCTATCTAAATGATTTTCAACAAAATATTTTAGTTTAAAAGATTAAACTGACTTAAGGTTTATGGAACAAAGCATTTCATAGAGTTTTAAGAGTTATCTAATAAATTTCTATTTATTGCACTTGTGACTTTTTAAAGCATCAAAATGAGTTCATTAAACAAAAAAATTTGAAGTTTTTCACAGGATTTCAAGGATTCTAAAGATAGAGATATTTATCCTCTTACCCCAGTACCTAGTACAGCAGTGAGGGAGTACCGGTGTGGCACTGTAGGATCAGCACTGGACTGCTAACCACAAGGTTCAAACTCGCCAGCAGCATCTCAAAAACCCTGTACAGAATAGCTATGAGTAGATACCGATTCGACGGCATGTAACAACAGTGCAGTTAAGAAGGGGGTCATTGAGCTAAAGCACTTGGCCAACAAACGAAAGGAAGTGGTGGTTTGAACCCTCTGTATGAGAAAGACGTGGCATAAAGATTTACAACCTTGGAAATCCTATGGACAGTTGTACTCTGCCCTACCTTATAAAGTCACTATGAGTTAGAATCAAGTTAACAGCAGTGGTGTTTGGTTTGGTCTGGTATCAGCACTGGACTGCAAACCACAAGGTCAGTGGATCAAACCCACCAGCTGCTCCTTAGAAACACTTTAAAGGGTCACTATGAGTTGGAACCAACTCAACAGCACTTAAAAACAAGTAGAGTGTATTATAGTACACAGTAGATACTTGATACATTTAGGATCTAATAAGTTTATACAAGGTTCGCAGAAAAATGCAATGAAAAGATAACAGATATTTTCCCTGAACTTTCTAAAGCCTCTAGTATGAGAAGGTACAGCTTCGTTTAAAAGTAAACTACAGAAGTTTCAGTTTCAAGTTCTTTATAACTCAGACTTAACAAGATTACAATTATGCTCTATAAGAGAATGCTGATGGAATAACCAAAACAGTATCTTCTGACTATCCTTAGTTGCCCTAAAACAAGGTTATTTAATCCATTAGTTAGGAACAGGGACACGCTAGTATTAAATGAAAACACCAAATAAACAAAGATCAAACTTTCATTACAACATTTCAAAGCAATAAGACTTTATTTAACGAGACTTGCTTATAGGATTTTTTTTTGCAATAGACTACAGAAGATTAAATTGTACATGTTTGTAACACTTACTGCATCTGAAGTTTTGCTTGGATTATTGCTTGGATTATTGCTTGGATTAGAAGAATGTGAATTTGAACTATGAAGAGCACTGTGGTTGTGTGAATTTTCTTGTGGAGAATAACTGGTCCCTTAAAAAAGGGGTGGGGGGAAGAGAAAAAACAAAGTTATAGTTTATGTTGCATTTAAACTAGTTTCTATATACTACATAAAAATCATCTATTCTGTCTATAAACAATTGTTTTACATAGCCATCAAGGAAGAACACATTCATATTTTTACAATACATATAGTAAATTTACTAAAGATATGGCTTGAAGATCATGTACACTGCCCAAAGCTGATATGCTATCTGAACAATGTTCTTTGTAATTATAATTAGCAAAACCTATAGTTTTTGTTTTTAAAAAAGAAGCTTTATTGGAGAAAAAACATTAGCTACTATGTACAAAGAAAATAGGCACACAAATTCAATGGAAAGAGCATTAAATATCACAATTAACCAATCACTTTTTAAATTTATTTAAAATTCCCCTTTTTCCTAATAGTCTTGCTAATTTTTCTGCTAAAAAAGCAACAATTTTTCAACAAGTTGAGAATCAGAGATGTGACCTGCATTTAGGATGGTGACGAGGACATCAAGAACCTTATATAACAGTATTAATTCTACCTAGAAATTACTTAAGAATAACTTGCAAGTCTCATGAGTAATCTACACAACTCAGAGCCCATTAAAGATGACAATTTTTAATGTTTTAAGAATAGCCAAAGTATAAAAAACCCAAATTTACAGAAACACTAATTAATGAAACAAAAAAATTAATTCACAAGAAGATTCTGATTGCATTCTGATTTGTTTCTACTTGTTTAAGGTTTTTAAATAACAAAGTAACATAATTAAGCTGCTCTCTTACAAAAATTTCTCAGAAAAATGTAGATAGAGAACAAAAACAGAAGTAAAAACTGAAATGGTTTAGTGGTCAGAAGTATAAATGAATAAGAATTATTAATTACTTCAATCAACCAGGAAAAACTAAACAATTAAAAAGGAAGGTGAACTCAAACAGGCAGAAGACTATAATGTTTAACCAACTGGAAATAATCAGCAGATATACTAATTCAGATTAAAGTGAAGAAACAGATGTGGATTTGGGAGTCTTTCCCATTAGCAGTTTAAGGAAGGTGGCTATAATTTTGTCTTGTATATTATAAACAAACACTAAGAGCTTACTTCATCCATGAATGAAGTAAGCGTACAGTTAGAAAAAAAGGCAAGGGCCATGGCTTAATCTTAGATGTTGTTGTTCTTGTTGGGTGCTGTCAAATCCATTCTGACTCATAGCAACCCTGTGCACAACAGGACTGCCCAGACCTGCACAATCCTCTTAATTGTTGCATTTGAGCCCATTGCTTCTTGTTGATGTTGTCAGGTGCCATCGAGTCGGAACCGACTCATAGCGACCCCATGCACAGCAGAACGAAACAATGTCCGATCCTGGGCCAACCTC